AGTGGTCACTGCAACTCACACAGCAAGTGCCCAGTCCTGGTCCTTTAGGAAGGGAAAGTGAACCAATCTGGGGCAAATCATCAGGAAAGGGGTAGCTCTGTTGGATATGGCTGACTTCTCGAGTTCTGGAAGCATACCATTCTCCTCCCTGGTTCTGGATTCCCAGTCCTTGGGCTGTACTCAGGTCCCACCCTCATAACATGCATGCATTGCCTGAATGATCTGGTCTGTCCTTTACTGGACTGGCTCACGCTTCTGCCTCCCTGGGGGCTGCTGGTCTGTTCTTTCCCAAGGAGTAGAACATTAATTTCTATGGTCCCACTGCACTGTTCCAAGAAGGCACCCACCTGTTTGCTGGGGCTAAGGAGTACTTAGGATTCCCTTCAGATCAACACAGTATGGAAGATGTCTTTAGACAGCAGCCAGCAGCTTCACTCTAACTCACCAGTTTGAAGTGGTCCATCTCAAGTGGCCATTTGGTCTCTTTGGACTCAGTTTTCTAATTTGGGCATGAGAGGCATGGGCCCACTGACAATTTTCAAACTGTGCTTCTTGGTCTCTGCAAAGCCACTCTGCTTTTAACAGCTGGGATTCCATGCTGGATTTGGTTTGTAAAAAAAGTGTTACTGCTAAAAGAAAGTTTAGAAAACCAGTGACTAGATAATCTTCCAGATCCTGTTTGGATTTAAGATTTGGAGGGTATGAAATTGTCTTGTCACTGCCTCCAAAAATCTTAAAAGAATGTTATCCTTTGGAAATATCTGGAGTTAGTTAAGCAGACACTTGCTTTAAGTGATTTTCTCACTTCACTGACATAGTCAGAAGTTCATTTTATATTTGTGAAAAGTTGGACACTAAAAAGGGTAAATTAATACTGTGAAGAATTGCAATACTGTGCTGAAGTTTCAGACTGGGTTAACTAATGTGTTCACTTAACTGGGTTAACTGACATGTTCTTTTGAAAACCATAGCTGGATTTTAAAATTTTTATAATTTATTTAGAAAACATTAAAAATGAATTAAAATACATTAATTAGAATAAGGCATACAATGAATAAATATAAATTCAATACATAAAAATTCATAAAAGGAACTATATAGATACAGTTTATAGTAAAATGCTTTCTTAGTCAGGGGTTCATTTACATGATCAAAAGGTGCACAATAAAATGAGCAAATTTTTTCATTTGTAAAGTATATATCAGTACTAAAAACTGAGAATAATATTTTACCTCATAATCCTGACACATAAGTCTGAATGCACGTGTGTGCATGTACATACATAATGCTATATATATATATATATAAAGTGTGTGTACATAGATAAGCACAAGTCTGCACACATTTGTGTATACATACATGCCATTTATTTAGACACTCAAATGCATGTATTTCTGATGAAACTAGTAATAAAATAGGAATGTGAGCATTCCTACTTTATTAAATTATTCTGTTCTGTTTATTAATAAAAATGCTTATTATGATCAAAAAAGTTGACTTTTATTATGGCTCACCCATGGGATCATAACCCACATAGTTTGAAAAATACTGTGTGGTCTGGCACTGTGGTGTGGCAGGTTAAGCCACTGCCTGCAGTTTCTGCATCCCACATGGGTGCTGGTTTGAATCCTACTTTCTCCACTTCTGATCCAGCTCCCTGCTAATGTGCCTGGGAAAGCAGTGGAAGATGGCCCAAGTGATCCTGGCTCCTAGCTTTGGCCTGGCCCAGCTCAAACTGTTGTGGCCATTTGGGGAGAGAACCAGTAGATGGGAAATCTCTGTCTCTGTCCCTTTCCCTCTCTCTCTCTGTCTCCCCCACCCCCAACTCTGTAAGTTTGCCTTTCAAATAAACAAATCGATCTTTTAAAAAATACTGTGAAAAGTACATCTGTTGTAAGTTATATGAAGATCTTTATTTGGTTGGTTCAAAATAAATAATAAAAATATGAAATTCGAACTGTGGTTTTCAATAGTTAGATAACAAGCCACTTCAATTAATTCACTCTGAAATATCAGCACCATTTTATACTTCTCCACAATATTAAAGAGTAAGAACAACAAATTATTTTCATGGTTATCAGTGTTTAAAAATAATCACTTAAAGCGGTTCCAGGGACCAGAAATGAAGTTTCTCCCAAATATGTCAGTCATAGCATCCCGAAGCTTTTAGAGTAGAACAAGCACTGGCATTTCCTACAGGACAGAAAGTCTCATGGTGGCAAAGAAACGGAGCGCCATGCACTGGGCAGCTCATCCCCCCAGCCGGCAGGAATCATCGATATCCTTCTCAGTAACTCCAAGTGCAAGGGCAGGGAAATAAGAACCATCAGACAGGCCCTTGATGACCTTCCCCTTCCTCCCATGCTGTCTTTTCTTCCCCAGGCAGCAAGGTGCTTCAGAGGACACACTCAGGCTCATTAGGGTCCCACTAGTAGTCCCTGTCCTCTTTCTCTAGGGAGGAAAGGTTGGAGAACTCCGGTTAGGGACAGGACACTGAGAGGAGGGCCACTCCAAATACGCCCAGGGCTGTCCCATGAGGATGAGGCAACAGCTGGCCCCGTGGCCACCCTAGCACCAAGAGTCAGGATCATGATGAACAAAAGCAGAGACAAGGGGATGGGAATGGGGAGTCTGTTTGTTTCCATTGTGATTCCTAGTCAAGGGCCTATCATGTGCTCAGCTGCAGATACCAGGTCCTCTGGAGGACCAAGCCAAAGGCACACAGGGTCTGAGCAGGGCCAGCTGCCCTGAGACAGCAGCATAGCCAGGAGAGAGCTGCTGGGAGTGACAACTAGGGGGGGCCGGGGTTGCCTTTCTGGGAATAGTCAAGAGATCTAGCAGAGTGGACGGCACAGAGAATGGTGGTGTGGTGGGATTAATACTGGGTCTAGGAGATAACAGAGAAATGAGATTCCCTTCCTACCTCAGGAAACGAACATGTTGGTTTCACAAACTCTTTTCCACAGAGGGAATCAGTAGGAGGACACTGCTTATAAATACATGGCTTCACTTGGACAGGCTGTTCAATCTCTCCAGGCTCAGTTATCTCATCTTTAAAATGTACATGATAATAGTATCTACTTTATAGCGCTGTTATGAAGATGAAAAGAATTAATATACATGAAGTTTTTATAACAGTACCTAGTAATGAGTAAGACCCAATACACATGGGACATTAGGCTCAGTCTGTCCCACCCAGGTCTGTAATGGGGAGAGGCTATCTCTGATTTCTGGTATTTCTTATCAAGTAGGTGCTCAAAGCAGGAACGAAGGAAGGAAGAACAGGTGGAAGGAATGAGCAGGTATATTACCAGGACCCAGAATCCTGGGGTCTTCTAGAACTGTCTTGTCTGCTTCATTCTTCTCCCTCTGTCCTTGTCTGCCTGCATGGGGACAGGCATGATGAAGCCGTGTTGGCAGATTCCCTTTGCTCTAAACCACGTCTCCGCCTCACTCCCCGGCTTGATCTCAGAGAAAGTGTTTTTTGAAGACTGGGGCACTGGACTCAAGGTGAGGAGAGAGATGTGATGCCATTTAGTTCAGAAATAGCTGCCTGCTAGTGTTCCGGATGACTCATCGACCACAGCTGGCCTCCAGTCAGATTCCCCCACTCTTCCTCCTCTGCGGAGTGGGAACTAGAATACTGACCTAAATCAGATCCTTGCCGATGCCAGGAGGCGACTTCCCTGGCTTGTGTTTGTTCCCAAGGGTGAATCAAGGGGACTGGAAAGGTCCTGGCTGCTCCTTAGCTACTCCTGCACACAGTGCTGGCCAGCACCCTTGGGCAATGTCTCCTTCCACGAGGACCACGGAGGCTCCAGGCTGGGTAGGTGGGGTTTTGGAAGCCCTGCCTGCTGGGATAGGCACCGTGCATCTGCCCTTTGCTCCTCTGAAGGCAGCCATCACCTTCTGCCCTGCCCTGGAGTTATCTGTACATTTGCTGCAGCTTCCTGCCGGGCAGTCAGTCCTCCCAGACAGACACCTAGCCCATGAACAGGGGCTCAACAATCACCTCTGAATCAATGAATGGAAGGAAAGTCATGAGGGCGGAAAGAACAAGAACTTGCCAGGAATCTGGGGGCAGGGGCAGGTGGTGCCAGGCTCAGCTTCCGGAATCAGCCCTGGAAATAGCCCTTCGGGAACCAGTTAAGTCCTGCCCCTCCACAAAGGATCTTGCACAAAGAGAATGCCCTTGGTATGGACTACCTCTGGGCGCCCTGTTCTCAGGAACGCTGTCCCCAGCTGGCTTCTTTGCTTAGCCCAAGGACCTGGCACACGTCCCTGACTCCTTGGTTAGGATCATGTCTCTAGGAAATAACAGGCCCCCATAATGTCGCCCTGTGCTGGCAGAACCTCTTGGGAAGTATATTCTGCTACCTGCTCAGTTAGGGGTAGCTTTCTGGACTTCTAGGCCCTAAAATCCTCTTCCTGCTGGGTTTGCTTTCCTGAAATCTTGGTCAGATTTTTTTTTTTTGCTCCTAGGGGTGAAGGTGGGGGGATCTTTCCCCTGGATATTGGTGCACCCCTCTCTCCATCCCAAAGCACAACCTTCTCACAACAGCGGGTTTGATTCTTGGCCAAGTTTTTCTCCCTGGAAGCCCTCAGGCCATGTCTCAGGCTCCTCACTGGTTTCTGCTCCCCAGGCTGGTTCCAGAGCAAGGCTGGAGATCCAGCAAACCCCAAAGAGTGGAGCAGGAGGAAGTGTGAGTATGAGTCTAGCCTTCCTGATGCTACCTGTTCCCCAGCATTCAGGAGAATGCTATTCATTGCAGAATAGGCTTTTATGAAGTGCCTGCTCTCTTTTTGGTACTGTGTTTCTGCTCGGTGACAGCGAAGGGGCATTCTGGTCAATGACACCTCAGGAAAGCATGCTATTCTAAGACCATTACCTCACAGCATTGTGAGCAAGCCCACTGTAATTGTCTGGAACACAAAGGGTGGGAGTAAAAATTTTGCATGTTACAGATTGCCAGATGACCCCATTGGCAAAAAATGGGAAATTCTCTAAAGAAACGATTGTGTCTACTCATTAACAAGCATTCAAGGTGGCTAGCTATCACATTCAGTTGTCACAGGACATCTGGTCACCGACGCTGGGTATTTGGAGCCATATGTATTCATAAGAAACTGCACTAGTCCCCGCGTCCCTGGCTCCGGGCTGCCCGGGGCTGCAGCGGCGGCGCGCGGGTGCCGGGCCCTGCTCGCAGGCCATGGGGGAAAGGGGCGCCTTGGGGCGCCTTCGGCCCTTCCCGGGGGGCGCCGCGGTGGGGCTGGTGGCCCGGCTGCGACGGCGGCGGCAGCGGCGAGGGCGAGGGTGCGGGGGCGCGCCGCCATGGGCCTGGCCGGGCTGCAGGAGAATGTGTTTGCCCGGCAGTCCAAGATCTGTTCCTACATGAGCTCGAACAAGTGCTCTGGAGTGCGCTCCCCGCTGCAGGATGACAACTCCGTTGCGCACTACGAAGCCAAGTGCCCGGAGAGACCGTTAGCCGGGATCTACAGGAGGCGAGAAGAGAAGAGAAGTGGTGGGAACGCCGTACGAAGTTCCATGAAGTCCGAGGAACAGAAGCTCAGAGACGCCAGGAGAGGCCCCCTGGCATCTTTTCCAAACCAAAAACCTCAAGCAGCAGAACCTCCAAAACCTCCAGCCTTGTCTTGTGACTCTCCCGGTGCAGCTGGCGCCAAGCCAACCCTGAAGAAGCCCCTCAAGGGCAGACAGACCCCTCGGGAAAAATCTCAAGGAAAACCCCAACAGAATCGCAAACTCACGGATTTCTACCCTGTCCGAAGGAGCTCCAGGAAGAGCAAAGCCGAGCTGCAGTCCGAAAAGCGGAAAAGAATAGATGAATTGATCCGGAGCGGGAAGGAAGAAGGGATGAAGATTGACCTCATCGACGGCAAAGGCAGGGGCGTAATTGCCACCAAGCAGTTCTCCCGGGGCGACTTTGTGGTGGAGTACCACGGCGACCTCATCGAGATCACCGATGCCAAGAAGCGTGAGGCTCTGTACGCCCAGGACCCCTCCACGGGCTGCTACATGTACTATTTCCAGTATCTGAGCAAAACCTACTGCGTGGACGCCACGCGCGAGACCAACCGCCTGGGACGGCTGATCAACCACAGCAAGTGCGGGAACTGCCAGACCAAACTACACGACATCGACGGCGTGCCCCACCTCATCCTCATCGCCGCGCGGGACATCGCGGCAGGGGAGGAGCTGCTCTACGACTACGGGGACCGCAGCAAGGCCTCCATCGAAGCCCACCCCTGGCTGAAGCACTGACAGCCCGCCGCCAGCCCCCTCCAAAGGACAAAGTGCCCTCAAAGGGAATGGGGTTTTGTTTTGTTTTGTTTTACACTTAGTCTTAGCAGATTACTTCAGATGTTTTTAAAAAGTATATTAAGATGCATTTTCACTGTAGTATTTAAAGATCAGTTACAGGTTTCCAAGATGGACTTGAACAGATGGCCTTATATTACCAAAACTTTTATATTCTAGTTGTTTTTGTACCTTTTTTGCATACAAGTCGAACGTCTGTGCTTCCCCGTGCATGCGGTCAAAGACGGCACAGGTTTTAGATGAAAAAGTCGAAGAGAAGCAGGGAGCCGGGCGGGTCTCCGGCCTTCAGGTGCGGAGCCAGGCCCTGCCCGCCTGCCTGCGGCCTGCCCGGGGCGTTCCAAGCTCTTGTTCTCCCCGCGACTCGACAGGCGCACGTTTAAGTGTATGAATATTTTTTAAAGGGTTTCACAAAGCTTTCTCAAAAGCTTCCTGGCCCCGGGGCCCGCGAGCACAGGCCTGGAGTCAACTCCTCTTCCACGGGCTGTGAGCAGGCTGGAGGCAGGCCGGGGAGGCGCCTCCCTATGCTGCCCAGGCAGGGTTTCTGAAACTGGGTTATTAATTCTTTATAGAAATGTGAACACTGAGTTTACTTAAAAATTTTTTTAAATGCTTAAAAAAAAAGCAAAAAAAATTAAAAAAGAAAAAAGGCAAAAAAAAAAAAAACCAAAAAAACAAAACCCCACAGAAAAAGCTTACATGTATATAGGTCTTGAAGTGAGTGAAGTGGCTGCATTTTTTTGTTCTGGGTTTCTTTGCTTTGTTTCTGCAGGCAAGATTTGAGATGGTATTCTATTCTAATCAAAAATAAAGTTTTTGTAGTGGAAAAAAAAAGAAACTGCACTAGTCAACAGAAGTGTGAGTGAAAGACACAAGGAGAGAGAGAGAGAGAGTGTGTGTTGCCCTATAACTTAATCAGTTTGGGCAACACACCTCACTTTTTGCAAAGCTAACAAACCAATATTCTGCTGAGTGCAAGGATGTTCTTCGCTGTGGGATTGAGAAAGAGGGTCTGCAAATGTTGCACAAGAAAGAGGCTAGATGTCTGGAGGTATATCCTGCTCCTGATTGAGCTGGTGGGGTCATATTTTTCCCCAAGGCTGGCCTGGTACATACAGGGCAAGAGGTCACTTAGTCCCCATGATTTCTCTGGAGATCCCGACAGGGCTTAGAGGGCTAAACAAATGCATAGTTTGTTCCTAAAATTATCTAGCTGGTGTCAGAGTATTCTGGCTTGTGGATTCCCAAAGTACGTTCTCACAAATAACTCCTCAGGCCCTTTGACAGAAGTGGGCTTGCCAGGGTTCCCCTGGGTGTATATGAAGCCATGTGTTAGAGCCCTGGCGACTGCGAGCAACCCAGAGCACTCAGCCGGAGAACCAGGCTCAGCTGTCACAGCACATCAACACAGTAATGATGTTCCCTCTCAAGGGAACCTTTTGAAATCAGCTCATTTAAATCTGTTCTTGTACTTTTGTCAATTTTGATTTAAGATGATTATCCTTGGGAATTTTATGTACTGCTGACAGTAAAAATTGGCACACCTTTTCTGAAAGTTGTCAATATATATAAAAGTCCTTAAAAATAAGATTTTGTAGCTTATGATCCACTATTTCCATTTTAGGATATTTTTCCTCAAGAAATAATCTGATATCAATACAGATATATTACCAATATGATCATCCAAGTTGTAATACTAGTTATAGATTGCACACAAGAAAGAGATGGGAAGTGAAGTATGGTGTATTTACATGAAAGAATATAGCATAGCCTATAAAACATTATTGAACAACAGAGAAAAGGCTAAGAAGGAAAAACAAGGCACGCACCTTATATCCAACATGCTCTTTATATAAATATGTCACATAGTCTTGTCATTCAATATCTAAGAGTATATATATTATCTATATCTGTCTATATAATAGATATTCCAAAAAACTGAACAGGCTTCCAATTAGGTTTTAAATGTTTGTGTTTTCTAACTACCTCAAATAAAAATAGTGATTCATTCACTTTCTCCTTGAGACTTCTCCACAAGATAAGATTGTCTATTTTAGAAGTTCAGTTTTCTGGGAGTTCGGGTTGAGACTAATCTTAATGCTTAATAATAGCTTAAGGCTTAAGGGGCTTTAAATACAAATATATTTAACTACAAATGCTAATTAAAAATGAGGAGGTCCTGGATTGGGTTCCCGGCTCCTGGCTACAGCCTTGGCCTAACCATAGCTGCTGTGGGTACTTGGGGAGTGAACCAGCACATGGGAGCTCTCTTTTTCTTTCTACCTCTAAAAAAATTAAAAATAATTAAAAATGAGAAAATCTTTATGAACAGGAACACATAAGACAATGGTAAAATTGTTTTTTCTTTTAAAATTTTTTTTGTGAATAATGTGTTTTATTATCAAAATATTTATTTACTTTGTCAAATGACAATTTAACATAAGTAGTCATGTTCTTAGACTTTCAGCCTGTTTTGTGTCAATAAATTTTTTTAACTTTTATTTAATAAATATAAATTTCCAAAGTACAACTTTTGGATCATAGAGGCTTTTCCCCCACATAACTTCCTTCCCACCCACAACCATCCCATCTCCCACTCCCTCTCCCATCCCATTCACATCAAGATTCATTTTCAATATCTTTATATACAGAAGATCAATTTAGTATATATTAAGTAAAGACTTCAACAGTTTGCACCCACACAGAAACACAAAGTATAAAGTACTATTTGAATACCAGTTATGCCACTAATTCGCATAGTGCAACACATTAAAGACAGAGATGAAGTGCACAGTGACTCCTGTTGTTGTATGGCCTTGTCTAAATAAGATCGGAGTTGGTGAACTTTTTTTTCTTTATTTCTTTTAAAATATTTAAACAATTTATATTTTGATATAATATTCTTTTAGGTTCATATTTGAATTTTTAAATTTCTTTTAAAATATTTATTTGAAAGACAGAGAGATAGAGGTAGAGATAGTGGCAGAGAGAGAGGGAGAGAAAGAGAGAGAGTGAGAGAGAGAAGCAGAGAGATCATTTATCCACTGGTTCACTTCCTAAATGGCTGTAACAGCCAGGACTGGGTTAGGTTGAAGTGAGGAGCTGGAAACTCAATCCAGGTCTCCCACATGAGTTTTAAGAAGCCAGGACTTGTGCCATCACCTGCTGCCTCCCAGGGTGCATCTGAGCAGGAAGCTGGAATCCAAAGCAGAAACTGGGACTTCAAGCACACATGTGATATGGATGTTGGCATCTCAAGCAGTGTCTTAACCACCGCCCCAAACACCTACCCCAGGTCCATATTTTAAAAGTCATTCTTTACCTCCACCTCACCTTCTTAGAGGTGTGTTTACGTTCAAATCTAAAGTCAATGTATCGGGGCTGGCGCCGTGGCTCAATAGGCTAATCCTCCATTTTGCGGTGCCGCCGGGTTCTAGTCCCGGTCGGGGCGCTGGATTCTGTCCCAGTTGCTCCTCTTCCAGTCCAGCTCTCTGCTGTGGCCCGGGAGGGCAGAGGAGGATGGCCCAGGTCCTTGGGCCCTGCACCTACATGGCAGACCAGGAGAAGCACCTGGCTCCTGGCTTCAGATCAGCGCGGTGCGCCCGCTGCAGTATGCTGGCCGCAGCGGCCATTGGAGGGTGAACCAAAGGTAAAGGAAGACCTTTCTCAATGTACGGGGCCAGCATTGTGGCTCCATAACCAGCAACCTGTATCAGTGCTGGTTTGAGTCCTGGCTGTGTAACTTCCCATCCAGCTCCCTGCTATCACCTGGGAAGGAGGTGGAAGATGGATCAAGTAGTTGAGCCCCTGCCACCCATGTAGGAGACTTGGATGGCATTCCAGGCTCCAGGCTTTGGCCTGGCTCTGCCCTCGCTGTTGTGGTCATTTGGGAAGTGATCCAGTGGATGGAAGATGGATCTCTCTCTCTCTCAATCTCTGTATTTCTCTCACACTGTTGTTCTCTCACTCTCTCTTCCGTCACTCTGCCTTTGAAATAAATAAATCTTTTTAAAAAAAGTCATTGTACACTCCTACTTTCTATATTTAAAGTGTTTTATTTTCTTGAATGCATTTTTTTCATTTTTGTTCTATAAATGATCAAAACGTGCTGGTGATGATACATAGAGAAAGGAGAATGTGAAAGATACTTCCAACAGCACTCATTTCTTCTTGCAGGAGCAAAGGAATGGACAAGTGAAGCTCTGAGCTAATCAGAGTCGTGGTTGCTTCCCTATCTGCATGCATTCCTCTATTGGTGGTTTAGCAAGAAAATCTGCTTCCCTACCACTTCTTCAGGATTCTTCTGACTTTGCTCCAGTCTCGCTGCAGCCTTTCCTGAAGCTCTTCCCCATCTTTTCTTTTGATTTTGCTGTTGAGTGTGCATGAGTAAAAAAGCTAAGGGTCTGTCTTAGGAGCATGAACCACCTCCTTGCTTCCAGGCCAAATTCTGAGGTGCCCTGGAACTTTGGAATGCCAGGGTACTTGAAATACAGAGGCCTGCAGCCCATGAAAGAGGTCTGCATTCCTGCACAATGTTGGTGAGAACAGCGGAGAGGCCCCACAATCCATTGTTACCTCCCTTCCGGCAGGACAACCACTGCATCAACTTCAGGACGCTGGTCAGAAATTGCTATTCAACACACTTTTTATGAATGGGCTTGTGTATGCCCAGGACATACTGTTTACTAATAGAAACATTTCTCAGTGTGGATTCATTCAACATCCCCCGCTCTTCTCTCGTCTTTTTTTTTAACCACTGTTGAAAAACATTCTCTCCATTTGCACACACCTTAACCCCTTTTATGAAACAAATTATTTTTGTAAAACTACAAAGAAGAAAACCCACCACAGATTAAAAACACCATCAAAAGAAAACTACTATGCAGACACCCATTCATTTCTTGTTTTTCTGCTCTCTGGCTTGCTCGCTCATGACCTTGCGACAACCCATACTGAGCTGACTTTGTGGAAATACTCACAGGAGAAGTTCACTGATTTTTGTTTTAACCTTGTTTATTTAAAGTGAGCAGGCATCGAATGTTCTATTGATAGCAATATTCTAATTTGGGATTGTAGCAACCTAAGACATCTAGTATACGGAGGATGACTGTAACTTGAAAATCTGTCTCTGGCAATGGTATTCTCAGAACTTAAGGCACACTTCACCCCTGGGATGTAAAGCATTATTTGACTCATTAATGGGATGGACAAAATGAACCACAAACCATTTAACTCAACTATCTTGGGAACTAGTTGAAATTTAAAATGTTAACAAAACTAAAATCAAGAATCACTTTCATTGTGCAATATTTATCTATAACTCTGCATAAAAATGATACAGGTAAGCACAGTTTATCCTCATTCAAGTACACATTAATTCGCAAGAAATTTCTCAATTTAAAGAATAATGATCAAATAAATGGGATTCAGAGTACCCAAACCTGCACCAATTTACAGCTGTGGAGAATATTCTGCACTTTGGGAATGGTTCAGTCCTGCTTGCTAGTGGACTTTGGATGTAACTACATATTACACACTGTGCTCATGCAAAGGAAGACCCAACATCATAAGAGCATAGACTCTCTGAGCTGGAAAGGATTTTGGAAATCATTTAATCTGTTACCCTCAACTGCACAGGAAGGAGCAAAACTAAAAGGACATTGGAGAAGCAAAGAAGCATGGCTATTCTGGGAATACTAAATAGAAGCAACCTAAATATACCTCCAGAAGTGCACGGACAGCCAAAAAGATGAGGTCTGTCTCACAGCTGCAGCTGTTATGAAGCCGAGGGTATTTCAGATGGACGAGAACTGCCTGCATTTCAGAGACTCTTCTGGAGGTAGAAGAGAGTCCACCCCTTATTGGACTTAAATTTTAAACTTTGGACAAGACTCAGGAAATTTATAGTGCCTTCAAAGGGACTGTTTTAAGGAGAGGAAACTGTGCCTCTAGGGGAAAAAAATACTTGCTCTTAAGAACTAAAGAGCAATGCGAGCACTCCTTATGGAAACGTTCAGGAAGATGACAGGTGAGTTAGGGCACCTGGTAAGGCTGTAAGGATGTTTTGCTAGAAAAGTAAACATTAGGCACCACAGCAAATTCTCCTTCAAGAACTCAACATATGTTTCTGAGCATCGAAAAGTGAAAAGACAACCAACAGATTGGGAGAAAATATTTGCAAATCATATATCTGGTGAGTAATTTGTAACTAATATATAAAGAACTCATAAAATTCAACCATAAATGGGCCAACAATTCAATAAAAATGAGAAAATAATCTAAAATAAGATTTGTCCAAAGAAGATCTATAAATGTCCAATAAACACATTGAAAAGATGTATACCTTAATAGCCATCAAGGAAATACAAATCAAAACCGCAATAAGCATGAGAATGCTGATATTTCTTTGACATACTTATTTCAATTCCTTTGGATGTACACTCAGAAGACAGATTACTGTATCACATTGTAATTCTATTTTTAGTTTTTTGAGGAACCTCCATTCCATTTTCTGTAACATCTGTGCTAATTTACAGTCCCACCAAGAGGTTAACAGGGTTCCCTTTTCTCCACACCCTCACCAATACCTGCTATCATTCATCTTTTTGATAACAGTGATTCTATGTGAAGTGATATCTTACTGTGACTTAAACTTGAATTTCCCTGATGACAACTATTTGTGTATCTTCTTTTGAGGACTGTCTGTTCAGATCTTTTGCCCATTTTTAATTAGGTTATTCATTGTCTTACTACTGAGTTGCTTGAGTTCCTTAAGTATTTTAGATATTGGCTCCTTATTTCTTTTTTCTTTTTTCTTTTTTTTTTTTGACAGGCAGAGTGGACAGTGAGAGAGAGAGACAGAGAGAAAGGTCTTCCTTTGCCCTTGGTTCACCCTCCAATGGCCGCCGCGGCCGGCGCGCTGCGGCCAGCGCACTGTGCTGATCCGATGGCAGGAGCCAGGAGCCAGGTGCTTTTCCTGGTCTCCCATGGGGTACAGGGCCCAAGCACATGGGCCATCCTCCACTGCACTCCCTGGCCACAGCAGAGGGCTGGCCTGGAAGAGAGGCAACCGGGACAGAATCCAGCGCCCCGACCGGGACTAGAACCCGGTGTGCCAGCGCCGCAAGGCGGAGGATTAGCCTAGTGAGCCGCGGCGCCGGTCGGCTCCTTATTTCTTTTATGGTTTACAAATATTTTCTCTCAATTTGAAGAGGTTATCTCTTCACTTTGTCAATTTTGTCAATTTTTCTTTTGCTGGGTAGAAGCTTTTTAGTTTGATGTATTTCCATTTGTTTGCTTCTAGTTTTGCAACTGTGTTGTTGGGGGTCATATCCATATCATTGCAGAGATCAGTGTTGTGGAATCTTCTTCACTTCTTCTTTTCAAAGATTTGTTTATTTATTTGAAAGGTACAGTGCTAGAGAGAGTAGGAGAGACAGGAAGTAGTGGTGATGGTGGGGAGACGGAGATCTTCCATCTGCTGGTTCACTACCAAAACGGCTACAGCAGCCAGGTCTGGATCAAACCAAAGCCACGAGCCTGGAACTCCATCTGGGACTTCCACATGGATGGAAGGGGCCCAAGTGAGTTGCAGGGGCCATCTTCTGCTGCCTTACCAGGAGCATTAGCAGGAAGCTGGATTGGAACTGAGACTTGAACCTGCACTCTGATATGGGATGCTGGTATTGCAAGCAGCTGCTTAACCCACTGTGCTACAACGCCAGCCCTGATGTTGTAGCACTTTCTCCTTGTGCTTTTTTCCTATTAGTCTTTCAATCTTTAATCCATTTTGTGTTTATTTTTGAACATCTTGTAAGATGATGATGCAATCTCACTCTTCCATGTGTAGAAACACAGCTCTCCCATTGTTTGTGGAAGACTGTTCTTCCTCTTTGTGTGTTCTTGGTAACTTTGTCAAAAATCAATTCTCTATAATTACTTGGGCTTTCTATCCTGTTCCATTGGCTAATATGTCTGTTTTTATGCCAGTATCATGTTGTTTTAATTACAATATATTTCAAAATCAAGTATGTGATGCTTCCATCTTTGTTCTTTTTGCTTAAGGTTGCTTTGGTTATTTGGGGCATGATGACGTAAGTTAATAATAATGTAGTGTAGGTTTCAAAATTGCTGAAGTAGTAATAGATTTTTATCATTCTCACACATACACACACACTCATACAAGTTAACAATATGTTAACTAGCTTGATTTAATCTTTCTACAATGTATACATATATCAAAACATTATACTTCACATAAATGTATACATTCATTATTAACTAATATGAATAAATAGTTAAAATACAGTGAGATATCAGGAGGGCTAGACTAAAAGATGCAGATAATAAGAACTGTTATAGAGGATATAGAGAAATTAGATTCCTCATATACTGCTGGTGAAAATGTAAAATGGTTCAGTCACTTTGGCAAACAGTCTGTCATTTCCTCGAAGATTAAGCAAAAGTACCTTACTACCAAGTAATTCCACTCCTATTTATATGTCCAAGAAAATGAAAAAAAAACATATGCATATAAAAACCTGGACATGAATTTCATAGCAGCAATATCATAATAACTCAAAGTGGAAAAATCCCAAATGCCCATCAGCTGATGACAGGATACCAAATGGTATTCACCATTGGTAAAAATATAATGGTATTTACTTATAGGGGATGATTGTTGAGCCTTGCAAACAGAGGAGCACTGATATATGCTACAGTGTAGGTGGGACTTGAAAGCATTTTGTTAAGCGGAAGAAACCAGATATAAAAGGTCATGTATTTTATCATTCCATTTACACAAAATATCCAAAATTTGTAGATCTATAGAAAAAGAAAGTGGAATACTGTCTGCCAGGGCACAAGGAAAAGGGAGAATTGGGTGGTAACTGCTCATGGAAATGGGTTTATTGTCTATGGTCTTAAAAATGTTTAAAAAATAAATGCGATAGTTGTATAACTGTGAATGTAGTAGGAAACACTGGGGACCAGCATTGTGCCATAGCAGGTTAAGCTGCTGCTTGCAATGCTGGTATCCCATATCAAAGCACAGGTTCAAGTCTTGGCTATTCTTCTTCCAATCCAGTTCCCTGCTAATGCATCTGCTTAGGCAGCGGAAGATGGGCCCCTGCCACCCACATGAGAGACTCAGATGGAGTTCCTGGTT